AATAGAGATATTTTAGTTTTCTTATTTAAAATTTATTTGAATTAAAAAATTATTTAATGTATTTTAAAAGTAAAAGAAACTACATTATGTAATGGTGACCAAGATAGAACAATAAAAGCTCAAGTTAAACAACGCAAAAAAAATGGTATTTATTTATTTAAAAATATTTGGGTATCAAAATTTAAAAGAATTCCTTTATTATTAATAATATTAAAATAAATAATAATTCTTTTATTTTCAGTACCTCCAGCTCTTGGTGAGACTGAGTTTACACTTCGAGAAGTTATATCAGGAGATCGTAAATTCATGTTTCGTCCGACCGAAAAAGGAAAAATTGGGAAAGATGCACACCTTCGAGTTATTAAAGGATTAGTTACAGAACCTCCTTCATTCTTAGATTATATTTCTGGTGGTACTCAAATAAATTTGGTGGTAGCCATTGATTTCACTGGTTCAAATGGCGATCCGAGATCAAAAACTAGTCTTCATTATACTGGTGGTTCGAGAGATAATGAATATCAAAGCGCTATTCGAAGTGTTGGAACTATGTAAATAATTTATTAATTCTACTTTTTTTTAAAAAAAATATATATATCATACATTGAATTTTATTTATTTATAGATTAGAAGCTTATGATCATGATAGAATGTTTCCGGCATGTATTATTTTCTTCTTTATTTCTTTGTGATTTATTCATTCTGAATTATATTGGATTATATATTTTATTTCATTTTTTTTTTAGGTCTACGGATTTGGTGGGAAATTTAATGGAATATTATCTCATGCACATCCATTGAATAACAATATAACAAGAGTAAATAATTTAAATTAATATTATGTTCAAATATTTCAATCATTTCTATTTGTTTATATATTAATGAAAATATATATATATATTTTTTTGGAATATTTAATATAGCCCGAAGTTCAAGGCGTCGATGGAATATTAGAAGCTTATTCTAGAACTTTTGATGCATTGGAATTATATGGACCCACAAATTTCTCACCAGTAAATGTTTATATTTAAATACTTTATCATAAAATTATTATAAATTAATTATTATTGTTCTATTATTTTCATGACAGATTATAAATCAAACAGCTGATAAAATTAAACAAGAATTGAGATCTGGTAACAAAAGATCTTATTACTTATTGCTGATCATCACAGGTAATATTGAGGATAAAAAACAATGAATGGAATTATTGAATTATGAAAATATAAATATTTTAATAATTACTTATATTTTACTTTATTATCTTCTCTCCACAGATGGTGTAATAACAGGTATTTTTTTAAATTATTACTATTAATATTAATAATAATAATAATAATATTATTATTATTATCTTTTAATACCATATTTATTTATGTATAGATATGGATTCTACTGTGAAAGCAATAATCAATGCTACCTCTCTTCCTTTATCTATAATAATTGTGGGAGTTGGAAATGCTGATTTCGCTAATATGAATGTCCTCGATGCTGACGATAACCCATTGAAAGTAAGTGTAAGTATTTTATCGATATTATGATATTATGATATTAATATTATCATTTCAAATATTTAATAATCTCACTAATATCATATCATTAATCTTTAATAGCAAAAATCCTTCGATGGTAAAACAATAGTAGGAAGAGATATTGTGCAATTCGTTGCAATGAGAGATTTCCAAACTGAAACGGCAAGGTATTATTTGCCAAAAGTTGTTCTTGAAGAGATTCCCGATCAATTTATTGATTACATGAATAAAAATAATATAAAGCCAAATCCCAGAATTCAGAAGAATGTAAAAGACTTATCCCACAACCCTAGGTTTGATCCTGACTATTATGACGAAACACTTCCCGAATATTATTCTTAATAAACATATTAGTTCGTCGTTTAGTTTGATTTTATTTTATATATATATACATGTATTTATAATTAATTAATACAGTGAACCCTCTATAAATGAACCCCCCCCGGGAAATCAGCATTAGGGTGCATTTATAAAGGGAAATTTTATAGGTGTTATTAGTGGACGGGGCCGAAGTACAGAGCGCATTTATAGAGGGGTGCACTTACAGAGGGTGCATTTATAGAGGGTTCACTGTATGCATTTATCTATATTCATTCATTTATATTTAATAATCTATATTTAATCATCATCTTTAGTTTATTAATTATTTATGTATAATCATTTATATTTAATCATATTTATTATTTTATACTTAAATTTAGAATTGTGATAAAATTATGAACTTACGTGCAAAAAATTGATACTATTTATAGTTTAAAACGCGAATTCTTCGTAAGAAAAGTGTTAAAGATTCCTATTAATTAAATAAATAAAAAAATAAATGTAATTTATTATTTTATGGTTTTCTTTGTATTGTTATTTATGATTATTTATGGACTTTTTTCTTTGTATTTGCTGTTTATTATTTAATATATTTTGTTTGTATTGCTATTCCTATTTTACGTATGTCTTTTTACTTTTCTTATTTATCATTTATCATCATTCATCATTCATCATTTGGCCTCAAATTAATAGAAAATCAACCTAAAAAATCTCCAAATGACCAATTCGTTTTTTTTTGCTATTATTAGGAATTTTGTTTAAATTCTTGAATTAAAATACATACAGTATCTTGTAAACTTTACTATATCAAATAACTTATATTGAACCTAAAAAGTAATTATCAAAACTAATTTACGATCAATTATTTAATTATTCTAAGAATTTGGAACTTTCTTTTCTAAATAAGATTAGCGTTATTAGAAGTTATAACTTTATTTAGAGTATTAATTTATTGGTTTAAATTAGAGTTTATTTTAAATTTATTTTGAGTCCTTAAATAGATTAGACTCCCTAAAATAAATAAACTTTAGTTGGTAGTCACGTGATAAATAACCTAGACCAAGGTTCTGGGATGAATTTGTCTTATTTTCGTGTAAAAACGAACGCATAAAAGGGAATTATTATCTATTGGTCTATTGGTTGACACTTCGAACGCTTAAGTAAAAGATTATCCGATTTATTTATTTAAAATTCAATTCATTATTAGTTTATTGGTGTTACTACAAAACAAAGAATATTTTATTTTTGATTAGTCAAATATTCAAATATTGATAAATTAAAATTTTTGTTATTAGAAAAAACGTAACCACTAGTAACATTTATTATTTATAATATATAAACAATGAAAGATTTAGTTTATTATCAAGAATAAAAAAAAAAATATATATTATTTTGGTGAGGCAAAAATAATAACATTCACTAGGTTAACAAAATTCTGTCTTCGTTTTTTTTTATAAATTCTTTGATTCTACCGAATGTATAAATTTACGTATTCCTCACTTGCTTTTTTTTTCGGTTCCTATCCTTAAGCAATTCATTAATTACTTTTTGTTATATAATACTTTTTATTTTAATTAATTCATTAAAATATAAAAAGATAAATAATAATAATGACTTTTTACAATCCAGTGATTATTATTTACTTATCTCTTCAAGTAATAAGTTTATTTCTCTTGGGGACATTAATCTATTCGATTTTTACTTCAAAAAATCATTTTCCAAAATGGACACTCTTGCAACTATATGTATCAGTATTTTTGTATAACATAAGTAGTCTCTTACCCATTTCAATATATGGTGAAAACTTAGGTGCTCATGGCTTCATTTCTCCACTATGCATAACATCTCAAAAGATCAATCAATTTTTAGTTCATCCCATAGAAACATTACCGTTTGCATTGTCATTTTATCTTTGGTATGCTTTGGTTAAAAAAGATGCAAATATTGAAAAGAAATGTTCTCTTTATATTTCAAGTTTTGTTTGGTTGTCAGCGATTATTCACGCAATTTGTTTGTCAGTCGCATCAAGAAATGATGAAAATTTTGGTACCAAAGTCGAATCATATTTATGCGTAGCTCGAAAAAGAACATATTCTATGCTTTTAATAATCATTATTTTTACTTTGTTGTTTACGATTGCTATGTCAAGTGAGTAATTTTTTTTTTTTTTTAATCACGATTTTAAATAAAAATGTTCTTAGATTTATCAATAATATATATATATATATATATATTATCTGCATTTATTTTAGGTCATTCTGGTATAATGTTATTCAGAAGATGGAAAGACTTTAATCATCGTCAGAATAGAACTAGAGTCATAAAACTTGGACACGCATTGAGATTGTTTATCTTTAGTTTTTTCTATATTAACCTACTATTATTTTGCGTCATTTTTCAAGTCATGCAACTAGGTCATGATGATGATATATGGTCATGGTGTTATACTTTCTCTGGGCCAGTGTTGTATGTATTTTATTTTTTATTTATTTAATACCTTTGACTCGGACTTTAGATAATTGTAATTACTGTAATATTTAAATTAATTAAATTAAAATTATTTATTTTTTTTTTCTCACTCTCGTTTTGCAGAGGAATATTATTATGGTCAATTTTTGGAACAAGCAAAAAAGCAGCAATATTTTTGCCATGTTATTATGTCACTCCAGTATCTTTAAATTCCTATGATATTCCACAAGAGCATATGACAGTAACTGATAATTTATCAGATAGTTCAATGACAATAACGACAATAACCGACGAAGGGACAGAAACTAGTAGGAATAGTAGGAATTGTATGTTAGAAAAAGAAGATCTAGATGGAATGAACAAATAATAGTTTAAACAATATAGAATACTAATGAGATAATAAAGAAAATATAGAAATGGTTGACCTGATACACATCTACTGAAAAAAAAAAAATATCTTGGGCAGTTATTACCTTTAAAGTGTAAACATTTATTTCATTCTGCGTAACACTGAATCAAGACGTGTAATAATAGATATTATTTGTGCTACAGGGGATCGAGCATTTTAAATAAAGATTTTCATTATTATTATGATATTTATAGGTTATAATTACCCATATAATAGAACTTTAATCTAGTCTTTAAAATTTTCGTTTACTTTTTAACATATATTCCGACTATCTTTAAAGTTGTTATTTTTGCTTTAAAGATAATCATAAATTGTTTCCAAGGTGATTTTTGATTTTGGCAATTAATTAAATATGCTCTTGAGGAAAGAACCAAAGATATCTAATAAATAAAGAAAATTATTGTTTATTAAATAATAATATAGCTTTATTTTTAAAACATAATTTCTAGAATCCATGGTCTTATGTAACATAAATCTATATTATTTGTAAAAACAATTTAATATAAATAGTCAAAAAATGGTATTCGTCGAAATTCTTGTTTTTTGAGTTCAATCTCTCTGCTTTCGAGACTTAAAATTTGTTAATACATTTTTTACCACAAGTCATGATATCAAGAAAGATTAAAAATTAAAACTAATAATATGTATATAAAGAAAAAAAAAGAATTTGCTATGTGAATTATTTAAGATTTTTAAAATTTAAAAAAAAATTAATAAAGTAAATATAAAACTCTTTATTACAATTGTTATACATTTTGTTAATGCTATTGATTCTAGTTATTACTTTAATTCTACAATTATTATTGCATTTTTTTAACTCTTTTATAATTACAATTGTTATAAATTCTTGTTTATTACTTCTAAGTTAATTCTTTATAATGTATGATGTTAATTGTATTAAATCTATTAAATCTTTAATTGTATTTGATAAATTCGATCTTTTATAATGAGGAATCTCATAATTATTACTTTTTTTTTAGTTTTTTTTTTTATGATAAGTTTTTCTGTGCAAAAATGCGATAAGTTTTGCTATAAGAATTATTTTCTTTAAGTTCAGTTATTATCTTATTGATTAATATTTCAAATTCATCATTATCCATTGTCATAACACGAGTCATTCTAGTCTTTAAAGATCCAAGTAACTCTGTGGCTATCATTAAAATGAAAATAATTAAGTAAAAGATTATAATATATCTATCTAACACAAAGCAGTAAGCATACCAAGATCAAAGGTGGATAGCGATTGGACTGGATACCAAGTATTGATCTTCTCTTCAATTGTTATTGACGCTAATTGTGATTCATAAATTTGTATTATATCTTGAAATTTTTGACGGCTTATATGAAAATAATTGAAATTATTTTTTTCAAGAACTTGTTGTGAACAAATAAAAAAATATATCATAAATGTCATATATATATATATATATATATATATATATATATATTAGGAAATTAAGAATTACAAAATTAATTGGGAACTTACATTTTTCTAAAACAAGGGAAGTAGTTGTTCCAATATTGTAAATATATTTGTTAAATTCCATGAACTGTTGTTTAGTGTAGGATTGTTTACAATAAATTATTTAAATTATATTGAACGATGTAAAAGTATAGTATAATTCTAATATTCTAATACATACCTCGATCCAACCTCCAGGTTTGAGTACACGAAATAGTTCGGGCATAATCTTTTGTTCCCAATCTATTTCATTGAAACAATGTTTCATGAAACGTATATGAATAAAATCAAATTTTTTTTCAGCAAATGGAATTCCTTCAAAGAGATTATGTTTATAGAATGAGACGTTTGGTGGCTTTATATGTGTAGGAAATATAGGATTCCAATCTAATCCAACAAAATTGCTTCTTGTGTAGGTTGTCGCAAGATCCGTACAAAACGTCCCAGGTCCACATCTAAAAAAAAATACGAAAGCATTAGACATACATTACAAACATCACAAATATAACTAATATGACAATATAAAATTATTCATACCCTACATCCAAGATTAAAGCTCCATTCTGAAGAATTTTTTCGATTGGACTATAATTTCAAAAACAAAATACAGTATATGATATTCGTTATTACCAATATAAAGAAAATTGTTTGCATATATATCAAAAAAAATATTATCTACCTTTTGAAATTACTATTCCACACAACTCCAAAGTAAAAATGTATGAGATGGGTGCGGTCTACGTCTTCATTCTCGATATCTTGACAAAATTTTTTTATTCCTTCATTCTCATTTTTGGTTTCATTTCGTGAAATTTTATTTTTGACCAAAAATGTTTGACAATTAATTTGTCTCTTGGAAGATGAAGATTTTTTTTTCATTCCAATTTTGTCTTGAAAATTTTTTGAAAAATAACCACCCATCTTTAATAAATATATACATAAAGGAGGGGGAGGTTTCTTTTTTTTTTTTAAAAAAAAAAAAAAAAATAGAGATAATGATTAAATTTGTAAAAAAAAAGATGGTTTATAGGTTAAAGTGAGGAAAAGGGATATTCGAATAATGTGAAATAATGTAAATGGAATGATTATTTAAAGAACTTGGAAGATCAAAGAAATTGCTATATTTTTATAATAATTAATTTATTTTGTTTCATTACGAAAAAATTTTTAAGGTGTTCAATAACCATTTACAAATAAAAATTTCAATTTCATTACAAATATGGATGATGAACTTAAATTTGCATTTAATTCTTGTCAAAAAAAGCAAAAAAAGTAATCAACTTTAGAAACATCCAAATTTTATATATTATTATAATTATTCAAGCATCTAATATTAATAATTTGACGCGTTCGCTTACATGGACGTGATGTGGCTTTTATTGGTTCCCGAAATTATAATAATATAATATTTTTATATAATAATTTATTTAATATTTTATATGATATTCTTATATAATATTTTATTTATAGCTTGATCCAGCAAAGTTATTAATAATAAAATCTCACAGGTTCATATTGTTAAGATTCTCCTTTTCGCATGTTATTAAGGTTATGGAAAATATGCTACCATGTCAAAATTTCAAAAAAGATCTTTTTTTTACCGCGACCAATGACTTATCACCTACTGCCGAACTTTGTTATTATAAATCAAAAATTCTCGTGGAGAGATAAGAGGAAGAAATGATAAAAAGAGGTAGTGAGGGCGATAAATATCGCGTTCCAATAATAGAAGGTATGAAAAGAATCCTCATTATGTGTTATTATGTATGGTCAGATGATTAATCTGATAGTTTATTATGTTTTAAATTTAGTTACAATCTCATATGCTAAAAGTTCTTAGTACGTAATAAGAAATAGAATTATTTGCATCTTGTATGAAATTTATTATCTTTTAATTACTTCTTTATATTTCCTGAATTATTCTTAAATGTAATAATTTTAAATTTTAAAAAGTCTTGACCAAAAAGATTGATAATACAAATGTGGATAATAATATGTAGCATATAAAGAAAGTTGAGTTAAACGAAATGGTGGTGAATATATTGTTAGATTATGAGGTGAGTTATGAGTTGATTTTGTAATATGTACTAAAGAAAAATATTTACATGATCATCCTGAATTAATCCGATAATGAATTCGTTAGAGATTCCGTTATAAATTTATGATTGGTGGTTTTAATTCTATCTTTAGGGCCTTGCAATGTCAGTGGTTTGTGAATTTGCGAAAAAAAATTTCTTATTATTATCATTTCTGTCAATGAAAAAGAATTTAAAAGAATTTTCTTTTTTCTCTCAAAATTTTAATCTTTAAAATAATCTAATGCGAATAAAAAAAATTGGTCTATTTGAAATTTCAGGTGATATATAATTCAAAGGGCTTAAAATTTTCTGATCCATAAAACAGATTCTTTTCATGAATAGCTTTAAAATTTTCAATCGATAAGCAAATGAATTTAAAATTAGAATGGAAATTCACTCTAAATTGTTTTCCTTTATTAAAATCGTCCTTTTTTTTTTTTATATCTTAGCTGATTCTTTCTTTAAATAGTAGTGTTTGTTGTGCTAGGACTTAATTTGCCTATTCCTATTTATTCCTTTTTTAAAATGTCTTTGTTCTTAGTAATCACGTTCTAATCAAATTTAGAATGTTTCTAATTATTCTCAAAATTAGTATTAGAAACATTGTATAAATCAATTATTCTCAATGTTTCTTTTAATAATTTTACATTACAAAATTTAAATTTATTTATTTTAACTTATTTTATTTAATTTAAGAATTCTAATATATAATCCAAAAAAAGTTAAATTTAAAATTGTTGAAGTTATATTTTAAATATATTTCTTTCATTATCATACCTATTCTCCATAAAAATATTAATCATTTTAAGTATTCCTTTAGGTTTTTCTATAAATATATTTTTTCTTTAAAGTATTTCTATAAATATTTATTAAAGTATTTCAAACTTTAATAGATTCACTAATCATCTTATTCAAATATTCATAAGTAGAAAATTGTATAGCTCCTCCAGGTGCAATTCTAATACATCTCAAAGTAGCACCTTTAAAGAATGATTTTATTCCTTCATTTTTTAACATAGCCTTTACACATTCCCAACTATTTTTATATCCAACATTCTGATCTTGCATCCTCGTTTTCACTACATCAGGTGGTGAATTTAATATTCCCACTAAAATATTTGCGGAAAATCCCGATATTGCATGTTGCCATGGTGATAAGGGTTGATTATTATTTACAACTGAAAATAGATCTTTGAATGTATTATAACCTGTAAACTATTTAATTTTATTATTCAATAATAATGATATTATTATTAATTAAAATTTTAATAAAGATAATATAAATAAATAAATAAAAATATAAATACTTTAACAGCCAATCCCCAAGATTGTCTAAAAATTGTTGGTAAAAGTCCATTATAAAATGCTAATAATCTATAAATGAAATTAATAAATTAATTTGAAGAAGCAAAAAATAA